TTGAAGCCTACATATCTGTCAAATAAACAAACAAAAACACCAAAGGTCTCTCTTTCTTCTCAAAAATACGGTTGCAGACAGTAAAAGTGCACACTGATCTGCTCATTCAGTGTGATACTGAAATACAAATCTCTGTTCTTGTTATACTACAGTTCTGTACTACTTTTGAAACATACTCTGATGAAAAAAGTGGTCACCTGACGGCACGTTAACTTGAAATGGTATGGTTAATGTTCTATCTCATAAGTCGGACATGCGAATACAATTTAAATCAACTAAAAAGACAGGCTTAATTGAAAGGACTAACTGATACAGACCTCAACAGAACTTCCATAGTTGTCTTCAATTTCCTGCTGAATCTTCTTGGCGGAGTTCCCAACAGATTTTGCAGAGTCACTTATATGAATCATCTGAAGTGTGGTTATGTCTACAAAGTCCTGCGGGATCGAATACATGCTCCAACAACGGTCAATGACTAGTCGTTCAAGGCATGGAAAGTGATCACTACTAGCTCTCCAGTTATGCAAGTACAAATGCTTCAATCGCAAGAACTTCAAGTGTGGAAAGCCTTCCTCACCTACTTCCCAATCAGTACCAATGCAGGCATCATATCCTAGTTTGAGGGCCTCGAGTTTAGGCAACTCACCAAGAATCCCCAAATCCTCCCAATGCAACCGAGTACCTGTAAAAGCTAACTTCTTAAGGTTCTTCGGAAATGTACCTGGAGGAGGAAGAACCAGAGATGTAGGAAACATTGGTCTTGCATTAACCATCTTTTTCGTCTTAAATTTCAATTCCTTAAGCTGATCTAAATAGCAAAGATCATGGAAGACCTTGTCCTTGTTACTTCTTATGTAGTCTTCTTGAATGCCATATATCTGCAACTTCTTTACATTCGGAAGTAGTCTAAAGACCGAAGAAATACAAGATAAAGGATTCCATCCGGACAAACACTGCAAATTTCTCAGAAGCCAACTTCTCTCTATAGACTCATGTTGCTTCAAGTAATTCCAGTCTAAAGAGAGGTGTCTCAATTGAGACAATTTGAAAATTTCTGATGGTAATATGAAAGGGCGAGAATACTTCCACGCGAGAGATGTTGGAGACTTAAGTATTAAAGTTTGCAAATACTGAAGGCCAGCTATTGATGGTGGAATGTCAATACCCCGATCATTAGTGGATGAGTAAACACTCAGAGCTAGGTATCGCAAATGAAACAGTTCAACTATACAACTGGGAAAAGCATTCAACGTCAGTGAAGCAAGATCTAGGACTCTTAGTACCTTGAAACGCTTCAATGCTTGCATCATTCTTGAGCTAAAGGGATCATCAATAAAAAGGAGAATAGAGCAGGAATCATTATTGCGAACCATTGACAACCGATTGACAACAATTTTCGATTGCTTTGATTGGATACTGATCCGAACTCTCTTTGTTGAAAAATGTCTGGCTTGTTTAGTTGGATTTTGATTGTCCATTATAACATTCACAAAATTTATTTTTCGAGCTTCTCTCAAGCAGAGTTCACGGATCACATCATGCATTCCACAAGCTTTTATTTTTCCATCAAAACTACTCACCCTTTGGATGAAAACTAAACTTCTATCTACAAGATCTTTTAGACTTTGTTTAGCCACTTGTTCCATGCTTTTCATCTCGTCTAACTTCAGAAAACCTTCTGCTGACCATAATTTCACAAGTTTATTCACAAAAATCAATTTATCCTCCGGGAAGAGTGCAAAATATAGAAAGCACGCTCTTAGGTGATGAGGCAAGTGATGGTAACTCAAAGCCAATATTCTCATGCATTGGACATCAAGATCTGTGTTCACCACTGAACTTACATTCGCGGCAACACTTTTCCATTCATCCAATGCTTTACCAATTTTGGAAAGAAGTCCAGCTATAACAACAATCGTTAGAGGTAATCCTTTGCATTTTAATGCAATTTGTTTCCCAACTTCATCAAATTCAGGGGGAAAACAATCTTTCGCAAAGATCTTTTCATACAATAAACTCCAACTTTCATCAAAATTCATAAGGCGCATTTGATAAGGAGGCCTACCTGAGCTAGCATATTCAGCCACCTCCATATTCCGAGTAGTCATGAGTATTCGGCTTCTACAGTTGCAATCTGGGAAACATAGTTTTATATCATCCCAAGCTCCTTTAGTCCATATGTCATCAATGACTACCAAGTATCTCCCGCATTTTAGAAGCTTTTGCAATTGGTCTGCTAGTTGCCCATCATTTTGCTCCACATAAGTTTGAGCATCAGTCTTTCCACGTACGGAATAAAGAAGGCATAAGAGTACATTTCTCACACAATACTCTTGTGAGATAGTGACTTTTGCACGTATATCAAAACAAGACATAACGAACTGGTCACAGAAAATTTTGTTAGCCAAAGTTGTCTTGCCTATGCCCCCCATCCCAACAATTGAGACAACTTCTAGATCACTGGCACCTCTAGTAAGTTGGTCCTGCATCATCTTGAATTCATTTTCATGGCCAACCATCATATTCTCATGCTCCAAGGAATGTCGAGATGTACTGGCAAGAGTTAAATTCTGTGCTTCTACATCTTTGCTTTTGGTGTACATGCTCTGCTTCATCATCCAGTTGTTTATCATAGAATCAATGTGTCCTACTGCTCGTTTCCAAAACGCTAGTCCTTGTCTCATTTTAGTTTTTGCCAAAAAACTTTTTCTCGATTCTGAGACAATCATATACTCTTTGATGTTGCTGCACCCGTCCCGGATTGCCATCCACTCCTTCATGATGGAATCAATGTGTTCTACCACTTGTTCCAAGAAACAACACAGTTTCCAGAAAGCTTTCCCTCGCAAAGTATCTGCTTTTGCGCGTATAACTTCTATTGATTTAGAGTCAATCTCCTCTTCTGCTCTGTATGCAACCCCCGTGATTTGTAGTTCCAAGTTTGCCAATGCCTCGAGATCGCCTGTTATGCTGCAAGGTTTCTCAATAATAGCTATCAAAGATTCAAGCTTTTCGTAGAACGATTGCAAATTACATCCAGTTACTTGCATTGATTGTTGTATGGTGATCATAAGTGAATTAATAGCAACAATAGCCATTTCTTTCTTTCTCTTTTGTGTGTGTGATAATAGTTAGGGAGTTTCTGCACAAAAGAACAATATTCTCAGTATGTTAAATGGACAAATTGCCACAAGTTCCTAATTTCTCAATTTAGAAAACACAAAGTGCAAAGGTCTTTCTCTAAGCTTGGTCCACATTTCGTGCGGTGCTTCTTTTGATAGGAGAGAAAAGGGATAACTAATCTCAGATTACTATACTAAAATTTTTAAAAAGAGTTATTTACAATATTAAAATGTTTTATACTCTTTTGGCTCATGTTATGGAATGAATAGACACTATTAAGGTGTAGTGTACATAGCTTAGAAAATAATTTTGACAATGTCCTATTATACATGAAGAGGCGACAAAAAGGAGTTGCTGGAATGATAAGCAACCTTTCTTCTAATTCTAAAATTGTCCGTTCGAGTTAAACTGACAGCTACTAGGAAGGGAGGGGTAAAAAAAAAAACATGAAGGAACAGAACTTTCAATTTGATAGACTAGTTGTCCAATTTCAAAGAAGCCCATAATTTTTAAATAAAAAACAAAATCCTTTCTTTTCCTCTTTCAAACTTTATCAAAAGGACAGGTTGGAGAGAGTGCCAACTAACCTAACTTTGTTGGTTTCTCTAATTAAAAAAGATAGAAATATAAAAAATAAAAAAAAGACCTTTGGTCTTTGTCTTTTTAATTGTTTTTATTTGAGAAATAAGCAAAATTAAGATAGTGGACACTCTCATCTACTTGAAATGGTTTTCATGTACTTGTAAAGATTAATGACAAATTTAAGAGGAAAAAAGACAACTTGGGTCTTTGTTTATTTGAGAAATTAGCAAAGTTAGGTTTAGTGGACGTTTTTAGGATGTGATAATGATCATTAATCTTCTCCTACTCCCACTTAGCAAGTTGTGCTTTTGATAATTAAGTTAAAAAATAATTGTAACTTTGTCTCTGATCGACTTTTTTTTTCTGGACCCAAGGATGGGAGACCTTGAAAGTGGACGTGAAGACATGATAGGTGAACCTTTGCTCTTTTCTTTTTTTTTTATATGAGAAAATATGGACTTTGGGTTAGTGATTTGCAAATAGTCATATGTTCTTAGGATGCATAATGAATACACATAACAATAAGGTATAATACATAAATATGATCATTAACTTGACTTCAGCTGATAACTATGATCTTTAACTTTGGATGTGCACAAGTAGGCACTTAAACTTGTATAAAATTGAACAAATAGACACATTCGTCCTACATAGCAATTTTGTGTCCTACGTGTATTATGTTACATAGGACACATGTGTCTACTTGTTCAATTTTATACAAGTTTAAGTTTCTACTTGTGCACACCCAAACATAGTTGTCAGCTGAAACTAAATTAAGGAATAGGGTCTTGTTTATGTATTATGCTTAACAACAATCAAGTGAAAAGAAGCCCTACAAGCCTAACTTATATGGAACATTATATCAATTAGCTCAAGTATTATTCTTTCTAATGAACTTTTCATCTAAAATTTCACATCTTCAAGCTAACATAAGTAGCAAAGATCATGGAGGACCACACTCCTGCTATAGTCATGTTCAGTATCAAAATAATGCTGTCTTCAATGTCCTGGATTCATTTTCTGCATTCAATGAGATGGGGAATTTGTAACCCCGTATACTCTTGGACCCTTCACGCGAGGAAAGTTAAGGAAAAAACTTCCTTACTTAAGACTAGTTGTTTGAAGCCTACATATCTGTCAAATAAACAAACAAAAACACCAAAGGTCTCTCTTTCTTCTCAAAAATACGGTTGCAGACAGAAAGTGCACACTTATCTGCTCATTCAGTGTGATACTGAAATGCAAATCTCTGTTCTTGTTATACTGCAGTTCTGTACTACTTTTGAAACATACTCTGATGAAAAAAGTGGTCTCCTGATGGCACGTTAACTTGAAATGGTATGGTTAATGTTCTATCTCATAAGTTGGACAAGCGAATACAATTTAAATCAACTAAAGAGATAGGCTTAATTGAAAGGACTAACTGATACAGACCTCAACAGAACTTCCATAGTTGTCTTCAATTTCCTGCTGAATCTTCTTGGCGGAGTTCCCAACAGATTTTGCAGAGTCACTTATATGAATCAGCTGAAGTGTGGTTATGTCTACAAAGTCCTGCGGGATCGAATACATGCTCCAGCAACGGTTAATGACTAGTCGTTCAAGTCGTGGAAAGTGATCACTACTAGCTCTCCATTTATGCAAGTACAAACGCTTCAATCGCAAGAACTTCAAGTGTGGAAAGCCTTCCTCACCTACTTCCCAATCAGTACCAATGCAGGCATCATATCCTAGTTTGAGGGCCTCGAGTTTAGGCAACTTACCAAGAATCTCCAAATCTTCCCAATGCAACCGAGTACCTGTAAAAGCTAACTTCTTAAGGTTCTTCGGAAATGTACCTAGAGGAGGAAGAAACATTGGTGTTGCATTAACCATCCTTTTCGTCTTAAATTTCAATTCCTTAAGCTGATCTAAGTAGCAAAGATTATGGAAGATCTTGTCCTTGCTACTTCTGATGTAGTATTCTTGAATGCCATATATCTGCAGCTTCTTTACATTGGGAAGTAGTCTAAAGACCGAAGAAGTACAATATAACGGATTCCATCCGGACAAACACTGCAAATTTCTCAGAAGCCAACTTCTCTCTATAGACTCATGTTGCTTCAAGTAATTCCAGTCTAAAGAGAGGTGTCTCAATTGAGACATTTTGAAAATTTCTGATGGTAATATGAAAGGGCGAGAAAACCTCCACGCGAGAGATGTTGGAGACTTAAGTATTAAAGTTTGCAAATACTGAAGTCTAGCTATTGATGGTGGAATGTCAATACCCCGATCATTAGTGGATGAGTAAACTCTCAGAGCTAGGTATCGCAAATGAAACAGTTCAACTATACAACTGGGAAAAGCATTCAACGTCAGCGAAGCAAGATCTAGGACTCTTAGTACCTTGAAACGCTTCAATGCTTCCATCATTCTTGAGCTCTTCAATTCTTGCATCATTCTTGAGCTTGAGGGATCATCAACAAAACGAAGAATTGAGCAGGAATCATTATTGCAAACCATAGGCAACCGCTTGCGAACAATTTTCGATTGGATACTGATCCGAGCTCTCTTTGTTGAAAAATGTCTGGCTTGTTTAGTTGGATTTTGATTGTCCATTATAACATACACAAAATTTATTTTTCGAGCTTCTCTCAAGCAGAGTTCACGGATCACATCATGCATTCCACAAGCTTTTATTTTTCCATCAAAACTACTCACCCTTTGGATGAAAACTAAACTTCTATCTACAAGATCTTTTAGACTTTGTTTAGCCACTTGTTCCATGCTTTTCGTCTCGTCTACCTTCAGAAAACCTTCTGCTGACCATAATTTCACAAGTTTATTCACAAAAATCAATTTATCCTCCGGGAAGAGTGCAAAATATAGAAAGCACGCTCTTAGGTGATGAGGCAAGTGATGGTAACTCAAAGCCAATATTCTCATGCATTGGACATCAAGATCTGTGTTCACCACTGAACTTACATTCGCGGCAACACTTTTCCATTCATCCAATGCTTTACCAATTTTGGAAAGAAGTCCAGCTATAACAACAATCGTTAGAGGTAATCCTTTGCATTTTAATGCAATTTGTTTCCCAACTTCATCAAATTCAGGGGGAAAACAATCTTTCGCAAAGATCTTTTCATACAATAAACTCCAACTTTCATCAAAATTCATAAGGCGCATTTGATAAGGAGGCCTACCTGAGCTAGCATATTCAGCCACCTCCATATTCCGAGTAGTCATGAGTATTCGGCTTCTACAGTTGCAATCTGGGAAACATAGTTTTATATCATCCCAAGCTCCTTTAGTCCATATGTCATCAATGACTACCAAGTATCTCCCGCATTTTAGAAGCTTTTGCAATTGGTCTGCTAGTTGCCCATCATTTTGCTCCACATAAGTTTGAGCATCAGTCTTTCCACGTACGGAATAAAGAAGGCATAAGAGTACATTTCTCACACAATACTCTTGTGAGATGGTGACTTTTGCACGTATATCAAAACAAGACATAACGAATGGGTCACAGAAAATTTTGTTAGCCAAAGTTGTCTTGCCTATGCCCCCCATCCCAACAATTGAGACAACTTCTAGATCACTGGCACCTCTAGTAAGTTGGTCCTGCATCATCTCGAATTCATTTTCATGGCCAACCATCATATTCTCATGCTCCAAGGAATGTCGAGATGTACTGGCAAGAGTCAAATTCTGTGCTTCTCCATCTTTGCTTTTGGTGTACATTCTCTGCTTCATCATCCAGTTGTTTATCATAGAATCAATGTGTCCTACTGCTCGTTTCCAAAACGCTAGTCCTTGTCTCATTTTAGTTTTTGCCAAAAAACTTTTGCTCGATTCTGAGACAATCAAATACTCTTTGATGTTGCTGCACCCGTCCCAGATTGCCATCCACTCCTTCATGATGGAATCAATGTGTTCTACCACTTGTTCCAAGAAACAACACAGTTTCCAAAAAGCCTTCCCTCGCAAAGTATCTGTTTTTGCGCGTATAACTTTTATTGATTTAGAGTCAATCTCATCTTCTGCTCTGTATGCAACCTCCGCGATTTTTACTTCCAAGCTTGCCAATGCCTCGAGATCGCCTGTTATGCTGCAAGGCTTCTCCTTAATAGCTATCAACGATTCAAGCTTTTCGTAGAACGATTGCAAATTACATCCAGTTACTTGCATTGATTGTTGTATGGTGATCATAAGTGAATTAATAGCAACAATAGCCATTTCTTTCTTTCTCTTTTTTTTTGTGTGTGATAATAGTTGGGGAGTTTCTGCACAAAAGAAGAATAATCTCAGTATGTTAAATGGATAAATTGCCACAAGTTCCTAAATTCTCAGTCTTAAAAACACAAAGTGCTATGTTTTCTTATTCTTTATACTAGAATTTGCTACACTTGAGCCGATGATCTTTCGAAAATAGTCTTCTACCTCCATTGAGGTAGTAGTAAGGCCTGCATACACTTTATCGAACTCACTTGTGGGACTCCACTAGATAATATTATTGTTGTTGTTAACACTATAATTACTTATTTCCCCAAATAATTTCTCACGATCTAATACTGAACATCAATTAATATAAGTCTTATGATAAAATATTCATATAAAATGGTTGTCAGTTAAGTTCAAAGTAAACAAGTAAAAATGAACCACAGGAGTATAAAATAATAATAGATCAAGTTATTCCTCAATCCTCATACCTTTGTAGCCACAACTAAGGCTAGAAATTTTGCTCAAAGTCTTTTTCCGGCCGGCTAACTCCAATGCCGGCAACTGGATGAACCTTGTGAGGACAGAACTGATCTGATGACTTTTGTCTGTATTTTTAAGTCTTCGTTTGACATCTTGGGCCTCATTTATTTGGACTTTAAAGTAAAGAAAGAAGATATTTTTTCAAAACTCATTTTCAACCTTACACTTCAACTTTTTACTCCAACTCAAGTTTCAATTATCAATTTTTCGATACTAATTCAAAATTCGACTCCTGATTCTTGATAGAGGACCTAACCCTCGAGTAATAACACAAGCCATTTCTCTCTCTCTCTCTTTTGTGTGTTGATAATAGTAGGCACTAGAGTCGTCAAAAGAGCCGTCCCTGCTCCACCCGGCTAGGGCTGGGCATAAAATACCAAAATCGAATTATCGAATCGAACCAAAATTTTTGGTAATTTGGTATTCGATAATTGAGTATTTGGTATGGTATTCGAAAGTGGAATTTTAGAATTATGGTGTTTTGGTTTGGGTTTGGTATGAGACATTAGTACCATTTGGTATTTGATATTTCCCGAATATCGAATTATTTACTTAATGAAGATCATGCATCAACATGTCTATTATTCATTAGTACAATTCCAAAGAAGAAAGTTAATGAACATAGACAACCCAAAATACATGTTTTTTAGTTGTATCAATTTGTTTATCTTGATGGCTTCTTACATATTGATCTTCTATTATATCGTGCATTCACATAAAAAAAAATAGAAATGATTGAAAAAATAGTAATTACTTTGTAATACAATCGGCACTACAACTTCAATACGACATTAACGACACCGAAATTTAATTTATCGATTATCGAATTACCGAACCGAAATTAAAAACTTTGGTATTTGGTATCTACTTTTAACTACCAATTACCGAATAAACGAACCCATAATTTGATAATCCTGAACCGAATATCGAACGCTCACCCCTACACCCGGCTCAAGCCTCGCGGGCCAATAAATTTGATGGGCTAGGGTGGGCCATCCCTTCATTTGGAAGGGCTTGAAAATGCTCAATTCAACCCAACCCTAGAAGGGCTGAGGGCTTGGGTGTGCATAGTTATCCGCTAAAGTCAGATTAAGGGTCATATTTATGTATTATGCCACTAGTATATATATATAGAGAGAGAGACTTTCTATTAAGTCATTTAAAAGATCTATTACGAAATAACTACATTTGTCAGAAAATGGTAAACTTACCAATGAAATTAGATACCATAAGAATAACAGTTCCCTGTTATGTTACAAATCACGAAAGTGATCATAACCTAATTCTAGAAAACTTATTCCTTAATAGTCTGGAAGACTATAATATAGGAAAAAGTGGAATAGAAATTAGTTATAAAAATGAAACGTGTTTCATAATAAAAAATGCCTAAAGAGACATCTTTTAAAATATCAGTATTCATAGAATTGACATTTTATGATACTAAATTAACCAATTGTATGTGTTATACAAACATCATATTTATAATCATGCTGCTAGTATAAATAAAGATTTATATATATACACACATCCGGCTGGTGCTCAGATTAATATTTTTCTTTTGTACGGTTATATAATATGATATTTGATTTTATGTGTCCATCTAGTTGTCAATATTTCACCAAGATGACTACGTATGTACTATATATATATATATATATGTATATATATATACACATTCGGCTGGTGCTCAGATTAATATTTTTCTTTTATATGGTTATAATATGATATTTGATTTTATGTGTCCATCTAGTTGTCAATATTTCACCAAGTTGACTACGTATGTACTTGTCCCAAATTTTTATTCAATAAAGTGAAAATATTTACACCTCCTGCTCATTGTATATGGGTACATAATTTAAATGTTGTTCTCAAGGACATAGTGAGCAAATTTCTAACTACTTTGGAATCTTTATACAAATAATCGACCAGATTCACCATTTTTAAAATTAGTATATATATTAATTATATACATAATATTCATAGACTATTTTTAACTTAATCAATTTGATGAATAGTTAATTAGATCAACTTTTCAAAGTCGATTTATTTTCTAATTTAGATTATCCAGTACAATCCATACATGATTCAATGTCCAGATTGTCCCTATTTTGAGGTAGTCTTTATGTTTTGCCTCTCAAATTGATGATATTTAATTTTTATCCACGCTATTCATTTAATAAAAAATTGTGGATCAAAGTACCATCAACATCAAGTATAGCCTAATTTCACAAAAGAATTTTTGCCTTATCCGGCGAAAATTCTGTAGGAATAGATTATTACTTAAAACATAACTTTGTGAGTTTTAAAATTAAATTTTAGTCATAGTAGCCGAACAAACATTTGCTATTTTGTTCAAAATAATTGTTAATTCATCTATTTATTAATTCAATCTATTCTAACATGTTTAAAATGTTGTATAATCCAAGGACATTTTTGTGGTTTTCTTTTTATATTTTGGACTATTTTTGTGGTTCAATTCTACGTGATCATTTAATCTTGTGGTGCCAATTAGGTACTCTCAAATACTAATCTTCCTAGCCATGAATCATTTGGAAAGAAACAAAAGAAATTCTTTTAATCTACAAAATTCAATGTTTTTCTTAAAAGAAAATTAGACCACAAAACCTACTAAGTACCAATAATTATTGGACCTCAAGATTTTTGAGGTCAAAATTAAATTAAAGTTTTACTAGTCTTTGCCTTAAGCCGCCCTTATGCTTGCTTCAACGACTCGATATGAAAGGTGATCAATTTTATCTTTACGTGTACCTATCAATTTTACTTCCTTCCTTCTATACTAATTTATTTTTATCGAGAAATATTTCAATAAGGTTTTTTCGTCACTTTCTCGATTCATTAGGAAGGTGTTGTTAAAGACACCTTCTCTAAAAGATTTTTTTTTTTTAAAAATAAATAAATAATCACACCACTTCAAATACGATATTATTAGAGAAAAAGTGGTCGACAATTCAAATCTCATTACGAAAAATAATTTTTCACATGTTTTACTCATAAGAAATAATCAAACCCCTGCATCAACGTAAGGGAGTATATTAAAAATATAATTAAGTAATAAAAGTACGATTTAAGTTTTTAAATGAGAAGCTTATAATACTCTTCAAAAGGTGTGACACATTAAATAATCTATTACTTTTATGTTTCAATTATTTTTTTATTTTTTTTTAATTTGTCTAAAAAATAATAATTCTTTCTTTTACATATTTTTCTATTTTATCTTTCCATACGGCATATTTAACATCATAAGATTAAAAAATATTTTGATAAATTTAATATATCTATAGTTTATAATCAAAATATTCAAAATTCTTTGTTATTTTATTAAATTTTATGTCAAGTTAAAATATGATAAACAAATTGAAACAGAGAAACTTTGTCGATAGATGTAACACTATATCTTTGAATATTTATATCCTTCATTCACTTTTGTCAAATCAAGAAAAGGTAAAAAGTGAGAAGGGATATATAGAAAAAGAAAAGAGAGAATTAAAAAAGAATATGATTTCATGATTCAACCCTTGATAAAAAGGTCACGTAGCACAAAGTGTGTTAAAAGACTAAACAAAGATGATAAAGGGAGTGCTAGGTGGCATAATTATATTGAGATGACATATTAATATACCTTTAAAAAGATCATCTATAAAATTGAATAAATAGACATATTCGTCCTACATGACAATTTTGTGTCCTACGTGTATTATGTCACATAGGACACATGTGTCTAATTGTTCAATTTTATACAAGTTTAAATTTCTATTTGTGCACATCCAAAGTTAAAAAGTCATAGTTGTCAGCTGAAACCAAGTTAAGGGTCATGTTTATTTATTATGCCTAACAACAATCAAGTGAAAAGAAGCCATACAAGCCTAGTTAGTTATATGGAACAATATTATATCAATTAGCTCAAGTAGTATTCTTTCTAATGAACTTTTCATCTAAAATTTCAAATCTTCAAGCTAATATAAGTAGCAAAGATCATGGAGGACTAGACTCCTGCTATAGTCATTTTCGGTATCAAAATGTTGTCTTCAATGTCCTGGATTCATTTTCTGCATTCAATGTGATGGGGAATTTGTAGCCCCGTATACTCTTGGACGTCCATTCACGCGGGCAACGTTAAGGAAAAGACCTCCTTACTTAAGGCTAGTTGTTTGAAGCCTACATATCTGTCAAATAAACAAACAAAAACACCAAAGGTCTCTCTTTCTTCTCAAAAATACGGTTGCAGACAGTAAAAGTGCACACTGATCTGCTCATTCAGTGTGATACTGAAATGCAAATCTCTGTTCTTGTTATACTACAGTTCTGTACTACTTTTGAAACATACTCTGATGAAAACAAGTGGTCGCCTGATGGCACGTTAACTTGAAATGATATGGTTAATGTTCTATCTCATAAGTTGGACAAGCGAATACAATTTAAATCAGTTAAAAAGATAGGCTTAATTGAAAGGACTAACTGATACAGAC